TTAATTTTTAAAAAATAAATTTATTTAATTGTGAAAAAAAAATAAAATAAATTTTTATTTAATCTAGTTAAAAATAATTAAAATATTAAAGATATGTTTAATATTACTATTACTTAGTAAACAATGGAAAAAAAGTAAAATAGTCTTTTGCACATTTATCATATCTAGTCCGTTCAACCAAACGAAGGATTCACTAAAAATAGTCATTTCCAGACATCTAATCCAATGAGAAAACAAGCACAGGATACATATTCAATCCAACCAAATAATCTAGGGGATTCACAAGATTCAAGTCCGATGGATTCTAATCCTCTCTTATCTAGTTCGTTCAATCAAACACACCCTTAGTCTCTTAGGCTTCGTTTGGCACCATAGATTGAGGTTAAAATAGTCAAAAAATGACAAAATAGATTAAAAAAGCCAACAAGATAAAATATCACATCTAAACCATAATCATTTCAATTTTTCTCTCACAAAATCAAAAAAATCAAAAGTCCATCCTAAAGACTTCTTAGCCCAGGCTAAAATAGCCAAAAAGTCAACCAAATTTCCAAACAAAGGGTTAATTTGTTTAGGAAATTGTTAAACATTATTTCATTTCTCGCAAAAAAAATTGTAAGATTTAGTAATAAATTGATTGGTTATAATTTTTTTTATCATATTGAAATTGCACATTAAAATATAAATATAAATAATTAAATCTCACTTGTATCCCCCTCTCACATACTTTATTTTCATACATATTCAAACACGATAATAAAAAAAATATAACTTTAATTATTATTTTTCACCGAAATAAAAAAGGAAAAATTGGTGAAAATATTTTTGTGAGTGTGTATGACAGTAGGTACAATTTTTTTTTTTTTTTTTTGTTTTGATGACAAAAACATGATTAATGGAAATATTTTGTGAGGAAAAAAACTATTATTTAGAAGGAATTCCCCCTCCCTCCTCTCATTTTTGCCTCATTGTTGCCAGAAGTAGCCACTGGTGGTGGTGTAATATGGACAACTAGAAAGATTAGACGGACAAAAAATTGACACAGAAATAGATAGATACTACAAACATATAGACAGATAGACTGATTGATGGAAGTAATATAGTTTTCAAAATTTTTATTGTTCTTTTGACTAGAAAAAATAGAATTTTGAACTATTATTCAAAAAAAATTAAATTAAATTAATGATCCGAATGAAAAAAAAAAAATTCACAATTAATCTTTTTTTTTTTCTTCTCACATATTACATACTCTTTTAGTTGTTATTTGGCATGTGGCATTTTTAGTTAGTTTTTTTCTATTTTTTTGACTATTTTAGCTCCGGCTAAAAAAATTATTTGACTTGACTTTTTTAGTTTTTTTGAAAGAAAAAATAAAAAGATTATAATTTGAATGTGACAATTTATCTTATTAATCTTTTAATCTATTTAAAAAAAAAAAAACTAATTTAACCAAAACTCTACCTGCCAAATGAAACCTTAGTCAAAGTTCATATCACGCGCCTTTTCCATTGCCACCAATCAAGTCATGGGTGATTAGCCTTGTGGACACTCCGAAAAGGATCAGGGACGGACAGAAGATTCTAATGTCGAGGGAGTGATTATATATTCAATCAAAAAATTTGTAATGAACATGTAACTTACAATATAAATTTCTATCCAAATATCACAAAAATATATAATTAGATGTTTCTATTCATTGTATATAATTACAAAATATTATCAAAATACAATTAGAAATGTTCTAGTAAATCTATATTAATTTTCAAAAAAGCAATTATTTGCTCTGCATATCTACTTTGGTATCTAAAGTTGTGCTCGAATCTTTTTTTCCCAAAAAAGAATTACACAAATGGTTCCATTACTAGCATTACCAAGTTCATAGTCCAATCCTTTTTTCCCAAATAATAAACCCTAACTCTTATTTGAGAAAGAGAGAGAGAGAGAGAAAGAGAGAGAGAGACGAAGATCATGGAGAGAGAGAGTGTACCGGAGTACTATCGGAGGAATCACGATCTTGAACGCCAAAAGACTCACGACGGACGAGAGAGAGATTGTGTTTTAGGTTACTGGTTTTGATGATTTGGGTTCATTGGTTGTGAAATAAGAGAAAGAATAGAAGCTTCTTTGTTTTGAATAGATGATGATTGCTTTAGGTAGGCTATTGCTGCCTACATATGATTGAGACTTGTATTTTCTTGAGTAATTATTTTTATTTTTTATTTTTTATTTAGTTATAAGCAAACAACTAAAAAATTTGAGCCCTAATCAGATAAAAAGGACTTTAACATATTAACAAATAAATTCTCAATTATTTTAACATTACTAAATTTAAAATAAAAAGTAATCATACTTAAAAAATAAATTATTATTATTATTATTTTAGTATTTATCAAAAAAAATAATTTTAAAGTACAAAATTTATGGGGTGACAGTTCTTAAATTTTTTACAAAAACTTTGGGATAACGAACCTATATAATTTTAAAATATTTATAATTTTATTATTATATCTAAGAGATTTTTTCAAAACTTTAGGGTGGAGGCCGCCCTGCCAACCCCTCTCGGTCCATCCCTGAAAAGGATCCAAAAATAAATAAATGACATTGACATCAAGAAAGGTGATAGTTGGCCATAAAAAAATAAATAAAATTTGAAAGGACTAGCTTGGAAATTTTGAACAACCATTCTAATCTCATAAAGAAATTTGTCACCAAAATGCAAATTTGGTGAGGCCCACCAAACTTTCGATAGTAGAAACAAAAATCAAAACAAAAGCATGTGTGAAGCCTTTTTTTTAAATGTTATTTATTATGAATTTTTGTTTTGAAAATTATTTTTAAAATAAGGTATAAGATGTAAATTATCCAGAATGATTATGGTTTATACATTTTAGAGTCATATTTTTACTTTTTTTTTTTTTTGAAAAATAGAAATTAATTTGACAAAAATAAATATTAAAAAGATATTTTAAAATTTTTAAAATTATTTTACTCTAAAAAAATGATAAAATTATATAAAAAAATGATAATTACTTTTCATTTATTATTATTTTTCAATAAATTAGTTTTTAGTTTTAAAAATTTATAAATTATCAAAATCAAACCTAACATATTATTTTTCTCCGTACAACATCAAAGTGCCCATACTTTTCTTCTTCTTCTTTTTTTGAATCAATGGTTGGGAAAATTTGTATGAAAACACTTCAACGTTTTCAAAAAATATTTTAAAAAAATTATATTTTTAATTTTTTGGAAATTCTTTTGTTGCCTTTTGTGAATGTGCACACGCGCACGCGTGCCCCTTAGGTGATTTTGTCAAAATTTCTTTTGTTAGGTTTTATTAATTAATCTAGACGGGTTTTAAAAATGAAAAAAAAAATCCGAAAATTTAGTTCTCTTTTTCAAATTTGGCTGGACTTTTAGGACTAATTTTTTTTATTTATTTATTTTAAATGTAGCTAAAATTGATGTTGCCAAACAGTTCATATCATATAAACTCATCATCTCTCTCAAATTTTATTTTTTATTTTTTTTATTTTTCAGGAAAATAATAATAATAAATTAGTCAGGGAAAAAGTTAAAAAATTGATGTTGCCAAAGAGTACAAATCATAAAGACTCATCATCTTTCTCAAAAAAAATTTTTCTTTCTTTTTTCAGGAAAATTTGTGAAAATGTGAATCCCAAATTTCAACTTTTAAGAATAATTTGAGCCATATTTAAGCAGGGCCCATGATAAAACACAAAATCTGACCAAATTATGAGATTATTATTAATTGTCAATGCAGCGTGATATTGAGAGACAACAACATTAAACAACAATTTTAAGATTATTGAGAGAGAGAGCAAGTTAGCTGCAAATGCTTTAAAAGTAAACGGATGATAAAACCCACCACTTACTCCCAATCTTTTGGGGAAAAAAAATACTAACCACTTATTTTGCCATCATTTATGTGATAATCAAAATTCAGAATACATATTAAATGAGTTATGTCTTTATAACCTAACAAGGAATTCAAAGTATAAATATTAATTAAAAAAAAGTAATACAATATTTATATGGATGTGGGATTACAACACACAAGACTCCTACCTTGAGTATTATATATATTGAATCTTTTATAGATTTATTTTGAGAGTCTAGCATTTTTGAATTAATAAAGGTGAGTATCTCACCTGTAAAATTTTTCACTATATAATTAATTTAAAACACAATATAATGTAAACAATAAATATTACATGATACTTTGGAACTACTGAATAAATCATGTTATCCATACATAGTAATTTTTTTGAATATATAATATTTTTTATATTTATTATGTTTGTTTTTTTTTTAAGAGGGTTTTATTATGTTTGTTAGAGACCCTAATATTATTTTCACTTAGGCCTTGTTTGTCATCTCTTAAAAAAGTCAAAAAGTCACTATTTTATTTATGTCATATCATCTTATTTAAGTCACATCACCTCTCTACCACATCACTTCAAACCCAATCCATACCCAACTCATATTTCATAAAAATTCAAAAAGTGCACTTATTTAGAACATCTCAAAGTTTATAATTAATATATATTATTGATACGTTTATTAATATTCCTATCATTTTTGGACTGAATAAAAGATCAACTTTTTTCTATGCTAAGGCCTCGTTTGGGAACAGACTAATTTAGTAACTTTTTTGGCTATTTGGCTAAAATATGAGTTTAAAAAAATTAGTATGTTTGGGATGACTTTTTAACTTTTTACGAAAAGATGTGCAAAAAGTAGAGAGAAAAGAAAATCTTTGACTTTTTTGTATGAGTTGTTGGCTTTTTGACATTTTTAGTAAGTTTTTGATTTTTTGGCTAAATCGGTCGCTTTCCAAACGAGACCTAAGATCATGTGATTAGAGTTTTATTGATTTGATTCCCCCCCCCCCCCAAAAAAAAAATTAAAAAATAAAAAAATTCCACTTTATAAGGTCCCCTCAAATCTATTAAAACACTAAAATAGTATACATACAATTCATTTTAACTCTTTTATTTCTTATTTCACTTCTCTTTTAACTCCCATCATTTATAAAACATTATTAATAATATATCATATCATGTATCATTTTTATTAATACAAAATTATTAACGTTACACATGACTAGATCATTAAGGAACAAAGTATAAGGGATTAGGAAGTTTGAAAGTCCGATTGCCAGTGCAATTCCCTTGAAGGTCACTCCATTGATCTCCCACATTGCCCCAAATCCTGTAACCTTCTTCTTCTAGTTGTTCACGAATTTCTGATTTGTACACCACTGCACTCTGCCCCTTATATGCCGCACTCCTACCCCAATAGATGGCCGACCAAGAAAAAAAAAAACTAATTAAACAAATTATATTAATTGTACAAAATGTAGCAAGATACCATGGGCACGACATTCCCTGTCGCAAATATATGTCATTAATACACTCTTAACCACATGATCATATTTTGAGATTTCAACCACATTGTGCAGTGTGAGTGTGAGATAGTTGGAAAAAGAATCTTAGCCAAGTATTATTGCGTTACTCATATTAGACAATTGATCATCTATTCTTAAATCTCGTTGTTTCAATGTACTTTTAATCATTAAATTATATTTTAATATTCACATGTTATTTTATTTTTTTTACATAAACCAATAACTAAGAGAGCATTGGAAGAGAGGCTAAACGAATTTTGGGACGATAATCCTTGACATATCAACACATGGTATTAAGAAATATGGAACATGAAGTGCATTTTATGCATGGAATACAAACTATGTGTTTGGATTTATTTAGAATTTGAGTAGGAATTTATGAAGAAAAAGAAAGAAAGAAGAAAAAAGTGAGAAAAAATATAGTCTAAATTTTTATCACTTTTTTCTTATTTTTATTTTTTCCCCACAAATTTCTACTTAAATCTATTATCTAAATACAATTTAAAAATCGTTAATCATAATTCAAAAAGTCATTGTATATATATATATATATATTAGTGCTTGCACCATTATCAATAATGTTATACTTATCATCTTTTCATATGATATTTTAAATATCATCTCATGTAACACAATCACAATTATTAATGCAATGAGTCTCACACGAACTATTCAATATTGTCTAATAATTGTAATTATGTCACATAAAATAATATATAAAATCTAATATAAAAATATGATTAGTATAACATTGTTGTGATGATATGTATGTCTTACCTCAAGATCAGCCTTTGATAACCAATGAATCCTTGGTTTTGCAAATTATCAAGAGTAGCCTGACCAAACGTGGATTCATCTCTACCCGTGACAAGGAACACCTTAAATCCGTCACTAATCAACTTGTTGAATAATCGTAAAACTCCAGGAATCGCTGGGCACCCTCCTCTCAAAGCCCACGTCTTAAAACCGTCTGGATCGTATGGATCACACCTACAAGTATTTGCTCCAAAACTCACTAACAATAAAAAGATTATGCGGATCCTATGGATAGTATGGATTGACATGATATGTTTTATTAATAATATATACAAAAGAAATTTTACAAAATAAATTATTTAAATTATTAAAATAAAACTCGTGATTAATCTCAGGAGCTTGATAACGTCATATTCTCAAAAAAAAAAATCTAATCCAATAAGGTCAACTATTAAAAGCTCAATTCAACATCAATATTTAGCGAATGAGTAGTATCAATCAAAACCAAAAATTAGATTATTTTTAAATTTAATGATGTGGTAATATATTAAAATATTTAATATAAATCTTTCTCTTGTGTCTTTTCTAAGAAAAATGATATATCGTATACCCATTTTCACTACCTACTTTCTAGATCCAATGATATTCAAGAGATAATTAACTAATGATTAAAGAAGACATGAGAGCCAGAAAGTTTCTTTATATATTATAATTGATTGTCATATAATTAGATTTGAAAAGTGAATCTAATTTTTAGACTACAATAATAATGTGTTTTCTATAATCATCTCATTCACATATCATCAAGTCTAGAAAGTGGATCTACAAAATAAGTTTACGTATAATTTTCTTTAATGAATATATGATCGTGTATTACCAATACTAACAAGTATGCAAATATAATTATATTCGATTATTTAAGGGCAAATTTTATTTTACTCTATGTGATTTGGATTATGTGTGGTTTACAAGAAATTTTATTTTCATATACCTATTTATATTAATGTGTATTTGTTCTGAGTACATATATTTATTAATTTAATTATTGATTATTCTTCTCATTTCACACACTTTATATTTTAATTATACCCAAACTCATATCCTTATATTTACATCACATAAACCTTCCTTCCACGCACTTCCACATATTCGGATGAAAGTCCTCTTTCACACATTGACGAAACAACGACACAATGAAGGCCCATGGACCCATTGACCTATGAGAGACAGAGAGTTGCAAATGACAGAATTAAAGAAGAAAAGAAGAGAGAGGTGGAGATTGAGGAAGGACATGGTCATTGAATGAAAGCCATGAGCATGTTTCACAACCACCATGAATGTGTATGATAAGCTTTTCTTCATAAAAAAATCTCACTTCTTTCTGGCTCTACTTTTTTTGGGTCTCTACTATTTTTGTTTTTCAGTCACCATCTTTGCTTTCTCAAAAGATAAATAGAGAGAGGAGAGAGAAAGGTTGAGAGTTGTTAGTAAGGGAGTGAAGGCACAGAATTTGAGAGTGACAGAAGTGGATACTATGCCGCTAGGGTTATGATTATCTCCTTCTATTCTGTATGGATATGTATGTATGATTGAAATATGTCTTTGTTTTTCTTTCTCTGAAATCAAAGATTACTAGTTATAACCACTACACAGAGTAGGTAAAGATGAACATGAAAGGGATTTGAAAGAGATTTTTGATGTGATAGAAAGAAAACAATAATTTGGTTTTAGCTACTGTATAATTTCTTATTCTTGTCCCAACAAGAAGATTTATTGTCTTTTATATTTTAAACAAGAAAAAGACTGAGGCCCCTTTCAAACCTTTTGATTGGTTAAAATTATTATTATTATTATTTTTTTTTCTTCTCTCCCACTCACCAACCCCACGTGTGTGTGGGGTGGTGGGGGTGGGAATATGAAGGGGTCCTAATCACAGCTCTATTTTAAATTAGGGTTTTTTTACTAAAAAAAAAAATAATTTTTTTTGGGGCCAATCATGGGTCTACACGCACGACCCCCCAGTGATCCCCACTGGGAGTCTTAGGCATTTTTCAAAAAAAAAAATGTACATTGATATATTTTTATTTTAAAAAGATGTGTATATAGAATTGAAATATAATATTAAAAGTGTATTTTGATATCCATTATAGTCATTTTATTTTAAGGTATAATTATGATTAAAATAAAGTTTCATTAAATGTTTGAATTGAGATAAGTAGGTATATGAAAATTGAATTTCCCGCGGTTTATCCCTACGTTGTGTTTGGTTGAGAGATTTAGGAAGAAATTTGGAAATAGAAAGGGAAGGAAAAAATTGGTGAAATGTGAATAAAATATACTTACATTTCACCTAATTTCACATACCTTTCCCTTTTCAAATCATTCTCAAATCCCTTAACCAAACACAGTGTTAACGTTTGGAAATGACCATATAATCCCCATGTGATTTATGGACTGAAGTGCACCATTAAATACTGTTAAACATTTCGTCTAACTTAACAATAAGTGTGAAACACGTGACAAACATAGTGAGACTTATATGCTCATTTTTAAATTTCAAGAGGGTAAATCGTACATCTAAAAAAAAGGAAGGATAAATTGCACATGAAGTAATGTACAGAAAATTAAAGTGTAGTTATTTTAGTATTTTTCATTAAATCGTTAAAGATTCTAATAATGTATTTTAGTTCACAAATTATAACACAATTATGTAACTATTTCTAAACATTAAGGAAGTAAACTTTACCTAACCCAAACCATATAGAGTAAAATGAGGTTTGCCAATTAAACAACGGGAATAACATGACATACCCAAATCGCTTTCCTTTGTAGTAAATCAAATTTGAAATGCAGGTGTCATCAACGTCCAAGATCCAAGCATCCAATCCATCATTAGAGAGATCCACACCATCAAGATAACTAATGACGTGGTCTATGATGAAATTGATGTCACGATCATATTGGCCACCGATCATGTAACTCTCAACGTGTCTCAAGCACTGAGTCGGCACAGTGCGCCATGCACGCACGTTGTTAGCCTCCACGGCTAGCCTCCAGCTCAGGCAATAGCTCGCACCCTCTGGCCCGTCGCTCGGTCTCCAGTACTGATGGCGGCTCGTGCAGACCACCACCGAGTTCGAGACCATGGCTAAGAAGAGGACTAGTAGTAGTGGTCGAATTCGCTGCGTCATTGCTGAAATCATGTATATGCGCTAGGCCTTCAAATGAAAATCTAGGACTAAAATCATATTAAATTATATATATATGTATGAATAATTGAAAAAGAAATAATTAATTTATATATTTTCTTTTTAATCCAATCACAACACATTTATATTTAATCTCTTAAATAAATTTTATATAATTCTATTTCTACATATTTTTATTATCCAAAAAAAAATAAAAATAAATAATTAGATCGATTTTTAGTTTTATATTCCTAATTCTCTTTCTAATTTCACTATTATTTTTAATCAAAATGAGTGTTTATTTTAGAAAAAAAATTGGTGAAACATCCCTTCTAACTTTATATAGTAAGAGAGGTCAAAATGTTTTTATTTTTTAGTTAAGGTACCTCAGCATTCATTGAATTCATCTCTTCAAGGAGAGGCAATGATGGATCTAAGGGGCAGCCGCACCCTCAAAAATTTGAAAAATATAATATATTATATTAAAATTTTTAAAATAACTTCAAATTATAGGAGTTTGTATCCTCAAATTTTTTATAGATAATTTTAAAATTATATAAAGTAATCTCTAATTGTTTAAATTATAGAGTAGTCTTCAGAGACATAATTCTAGTTCGGTCCTTGAGGGGAGGTGTTGGATATTCGTATGGCTTGTCTTTTGGCTGATGCTTATCATCTCTCCGATGTTGAGATTGAGAATGACAACAGATCAACGACCCTCCTCGGTGTGTTCGAGACTGTACTTCCATGGGAAGTGGCTATCATTTTAAAGAATATCAAATTTTTACCGGCTCTTTGGTAATTTACTGTCACGTGGAGCTCCAGGTCAAAAAATTCAGTGGCAAATTGGGTGGCGAAGGCTGCTCTCGAGGGCTATTTAGGACCTAACTGGGTTTCATCGCCCCCAGCTCCCCTTGCTTCTCGTTTGGCTTTATATTGCTCTATATTGCTCCTCTTTCTTTGTAAGCCCTCGGGTGTATTTTTGCGTTAAAAAAAAAAAAAATGGTTTCTCAACATTTTCAAAAAGAAAATTTAACTAAAATAAATTTTATCCAATTCAGAAAATTTTTAATTTTCACAGAAAAATTTTAAAATTTTTCTGATATAATCACAGAGAAATTTTGAAATTTTTCTATAAAAATTAAAATTTCTCTTAGTCGAGGCCAAATTTTTTCGAGTCAGACAAAATTCCTCTAATTCAAATTTTATCTGTAAAAATGTTGAGGGACCTTAACTATTATACAAATATTGTATATCCTTTATCTTGTAAAATCTTAATATCATAGACCTTAAAAAAAAGAAAATGTTTGGGACCTTCTTTGGGGATGACCCCCACACCCCTAAAGTAATTCTGACCCTCTATGTATGTGTGAGACTCACTCATGTATGTGTGGATTCCACATCATGAGTGGTGCAGATTTGTGGGGGTCTTGTGAGAGTAGGAGTCTCAATCCTTGCTCTTAAAAAAAAATCCCTTTATTTTATATCTTATAATTTAATATATATTATATAAAATCATTATATAATAATTAAATTTTTATAGCACTATAAAATTAAAATTATCAAAATCAACAAATAATTTAACTAAATTTATTATTTATACGTATTCAAGTAACACTTATATGGAACGATAAGGCTAAGACTATTAAAATAGATAATTTAAATTTAAATTTTATTTTAAATTAAATTTAATATTATTCTTTTGTAACTTATATCATAATATAAAATATTATTACATTAATTAAAATTAATTCTATTGTTATTTTATGTCATATATCATATATTTAGTAGTGATTTACATAGTCCGATTTGATATTAATTGATTTAAATAACGGAACTCAATACTTTTTGTTAAGTTTTTAGGAGACAATTTGACAAATGCTAAATGCTAAATAGTATGGGGTAATATTTTAAAAAATAATAATTTATTGAAAATGATTGTGTATATTTAAGGCATCTATTAATATTTCTTGAATAATTTTTAAATAGAAAATTTGAATTTATAATATTACTGATAATACACCTTCATAAGCTCTACCAAAAAAGATATACAAAAATAATTTGGCTAAAATAACAAATTCATGGTTATTATAATTTGTCACATAATTAATTAGAACTCATTTGAGAACTAAAATTATTAAGGTTATAGAGATTTTGTGTCTGATTTCCTTTGAGTATATTGTTTATGATTTGAATTTGTAATTTTTTATGCATAAATGTAAATAACTCTTATGATCTTACTAATATAAATATAAATCCTATCTTTGAGTCAACCCATCTTAAACAATTTTTTTGTGTAATAAAATACTTAAATATTGTCATATAAAAGTATTATAATAGATCATAATTAATCAGCACTTGAAGTATAATTAAAGACTCGATGCACCACTTTAGATATAACCAAAAATATAAGAAATTAGCAAAGAACTTTTCGATTAATAACAAAAATAATATACAATGAGTTACAACTACGTCAAAATTTGTATATTATAAAATTTTCAGTTGTTTTTGTTTTATTCTTTTTTCCAAAAATAAAATAAAATTGATAAAAGTGGAATTCATGATTTTTGATTAATTTAATTAACACAAATGAGGTTTTGATTTTCAGGTTGAGAATACACATTTTTTGTTTTAAAGTTTAAAAGAAATTATTTTTATGCGTCTTTTACATAGAATTACACATATGGTAACAAAATTTTTTATTAACCATTAACAAATCTATTTGTATTTGACTTTCAATTATTAAAATTTTCTAAACATAAAATTTCAAAATCAATTTTTTATTTTAATGAATCACTTACTAATTTTAATATAATAATAATATCGTTGACACGTGAGATCAATTATATCATGTCACGAAAAGGGCATGATATAATTTCTGACTGGTAACCGGTCACCCAGGGGTCAGGGCTCACAGGGGCCGTGATAACATCTCAGAGCCCATTTTTTCTTGATCAAAAAAAAAAAAAAACAGAAAAGGGCATGGTATAAAATACACATTCATAAGAGGCAATGATTGATTTGTTGTACCGTGTTTCATTAAATATTTATTCGCCATTAAGGCTTTCGTTTGCCAAACCAGCTAAAAAACTTAGGATTAATTACGTTTTTTATCCCGTTAATTTGATCTAAATTTCACTTAAGTACTTATAATATTAATTTGGACAATTTGATTCTTATATTTTAAATTTAATTTTAATTTGGTCCTTAAAATTAAAATTAATAATTTTATGACACTTATCAATTTTGTTATTCCGTCTAAATTAAGGGTTAAAATTAATTATTTTGAGACATTTGTCAATTTTTTAAGGTGCACATGTAGACAAAATTAATAAAAATGTAAACAAAAGAACCAAATTGAACTAGATTTAAATGTAAGGATCAATCTATAAGTGTAAAAAGTGTAATTAATACAAAAATTTATATATATATATATATATATATATAATT